GGACTAATCCGTGTCGGGTAAAGACAATTATCTACCTCAAACAATAGATAAATGGTTGCACAAGCTCATGGATCGATTGAAATTAGACCTTAACACTGTTGAATACCGAATCAGTAGTCTAGAGTTGAAGTGTTCGCGTGCGAGACAGAAGATCATAGGTTGAAATCTAGAGTCCGGAATTGTTCACTGACAAAAACTTCCTTACTAGGACGAAACCGCCGTCTCATGCAAAATTGTACGCATTATGCATAAATTAATCCATTAAACAAATAGTCGTCAAGTGTTAAATTTTCGAAACCGGAGTAGTAGTAGTAGTAGTAGTAGTAGTAGTAGTAGTAGTAGTAGTAGTAGTAGTAGTAGTAGTAGTAGTAGGAAAAGAAAAAGAGAAAGGTGACTGAGAGGAGAAAGTTTTCTTCTTAATAATATCATTTTCTTGAAGCTGTACAATCATATTTATAATGATTATATAAATATATGGGTTTATAGGATTATAGAAAGATATTACATCATTAATTGTTCATAGATTTCAAGTATCAAAGAATGACTGAGTATTGATCTAGCAACGAAGGAAGAATAAACAAAGATGGATGGTGGCTAGTAATGGAATCCAGGGTTGGTGGACACGTAGAGTTAACCTAGGGGAGTTGAGAAATCCTGATTTCAAACCAATAGTGTACAAGGACTCCAAAGTCCCAAAGGCATATGGACCTATTGTTGGTCACCGGTTACCATGGGACTGCATCTACTGACGTTGCTCCATTGCCTTGTGGATTAGTCCTTCATGCCAAAGGCTTCAGGCGTGATCCTCTAAGAGAACCACCTACTTCGGTCTGGGCATCCGATAAGTACCCCAGCCCTCACACAAATCGAATGATTTATGTGGCGCATGTATATTTTGTGCATCTTTGCGTTTAAATAAAATAAATGTCCACTCAGGGATTTGAATCCAGTACCGCCCGCGTCAAACACCATCACTTTTTCCACTTAGTTATAGAGTCCTGAATCCTGTAATAGAGGTACACCCAACTGACGAGTCCCATATAGGACGAAATGGGCGTCCTGGATTCAACTGCTAGTCACCATCCATCATTGTTTATGATGGTTGTGATCTATGACAATATCGAAGCAATCCCTAGAGGATACTCATATGTTAATATGAGACTGATTAATTGTAGTTCTTAACATCAATAAGAAGATTCAAATAAACAATACAAAATGAAGAATAGAAGGATTAAAATAAAACTTTAAGTAAATGATGTCGCTGAAAAGCAAGTTTTCTTATCTCCATCACTTTTTTCTTCTTCAATGAATAATCAGTATCAAAATCTTTACTAATCAAATTGTAACTTACATGAACTTATGATACCAGTAGAATAGTATGAATTCAAAGACAAATTACAATAATCCCTAATAATCTGTTAATATAAATTACATAATTCAGGTTAGAAATATCATATAGGGTAATTACGTCACAATTTGTATAAGTCAATAATATACTTTTCTAACTATTCTACCTTATCGACATGAATTTCACTTTATCAATATGTTCGACATGGAAGTGAGACCACATGATAGTTGACAACTATGACCTGGTCCAAAGCTAATCATAAAACTTTTAAGTCTTATGGAAAGCGAGCACTTTGAAAGACTCTCCCGATCTCTCACATTGTACAACCATTCCATGTACTTAAATTAATGGTTGCTCTGGTTGTCAGAAGGGGTATCAGCATCGTGAGTTCCGAAGGAAGTCGGCTTTCACCATGAGGCGTTATAACTTCTAAATCCCAGAGCAGAGTTTAAATGGTTTGAATTATTTTTTTATGGTTAGCGTTTTTTAACGAGTCAGTTTTCTACAGGATAGAGACGCTAACCCCATACCCAATCCTCCTTTATCCGGGCATGGGACCGGTAGTAGTCCCAGAAGAAGTTTCTTATAGAAAGTGATAATTTTTAAAAAAAACTAATAACTCGTAATTCAAAATCCCCATTTATTGTTGCTAATAAATAAAAGTCACACTAGAAATAATTCATTCCATAGGCTTGATATCACACATGAAATACCTTGTTAAGTTATCGCTACCTAAAGTTTCTGCTGATGACGTCGTTCAGAAGAATGATATAATCGCCATGATCAAACTATTCAGATCAGAGAACAAAACTCCATCAAAAAGCCTCTTTTTTTTACAGTTCAAAACTGAGATGACATTGATACCCAGTACACTGTTTGTTTGTTTGTTTGTTTACTCTTACAAAAATACAAAAATAATTTTCCGGTTTTTGATCCATGGAACTGAGAATGTAAAACATTGATAATGTTCATTGATTACCTAGTTACAATCTTTATTTCATCCAACAAAAAGAAAGAAAAAAATCTATAGTGAATTATCAAAGTTCATTATCATAGCTCTATTCCATGGGTGGTTTAGACATTTTATCCATAACTTACAAGTATATGTAATAGATTCAATTAATAGAAATTAGTGTTTAAAGGTGAAATATATAACAAAACAATACTTTATAGATTTAAACATTTTAAAAAATTAGGATTAGTTAAGTATATGATCGAGATCATGAATCGATTGATGTTAGATCATCATTGAAAACAAAGAAGCACTGGATAGTGGTTTTATCCTATTGTGGGACTATTCAACAGTGCACATCTACGATCTTGCCTCGAGAGATTCGAACACAGAATCTACGAGTGCTTAACCACTAAACCATTGAACCAGTCAGCATCTAACGGTGTTAATGTCTAACCTCAATCAATCCATGAAATTTCGCAACCATCTTTCATTGTACTTAGGTAGATAACTGTCTCTATCTGATATTGTATTAGTTCCACTGATCACTGTGTCTCACTAGAACTCCGAGAATTCCCTCATGAAGCTTGTTACTAGTGAGTACATGATAATTATCAGTATGGGATTGTGGAAAATATTAAGTTTTTGATTGAGATCATGAACCGACTAATGTTAGGTCACCATTGAAAACACGGGATTCAGACCCATGTCGTTCGGTCTCGTGCGGAAAACTAACCTCTAAATTATTGAGCTGGCACCCAACTATGTAAATGTCTAACTTCAACTAATCTATGATATTGTGCGGTCATTTTCCATTGTCTTCGGTAGATAACTACCTCACATCCGGATAACTGTTATTAAGAGACCAAACAATGAACGATATTGTTAACATCAGTATTACACAATCTTCAATTCCTTTATACGTCAAGAAAATCCATACGACAATCTGTATTTGTGTCGAAAGTTTATCAATCACAAGAATCTATCAAGGTTGGTGAGGTTTTCAAAGTCGGTAAGATGATCAATTCATTCAATTAGTCTACTCCCTGTTCATGATCTCAATCAAAAACTTAACCACCTCCACAACCCCATACTGATAATTACAATGTGCTCAATAGTGACTAGCTTCGTGAGGGAATTCTTGCAGTTCTAGTGAGAAGCCGTGACCAGTGGAGCTAATCCGCATCGGGTAGAGACAGGTATCTACCTAAGTACAATGGAAGATGGTCATGCTATTTCGTCGATTGGTTGATGTTAGATACCAACACCATTGGATGTCGGCTCACTGGTCCAGTAGGTTAAGCGTTCACGCGGGAGACTGAAGGCCCATGGGTTCGAATCCCGCGAGCGGGATCGTGCATGAGCACTACTGAGGAGTCCCACAATAGGACGAAACGGCCGTCTAGTGCTTCCAGGTTTCCAACGGTGGTCTAACATCAATCGGTTCATGATATTAAGCAAAATAAAATAGAAATCTATTCAAACTGAAATGGAATTGAAATGATTCAGATTATCCTGTTATTTGCATTTTTGGCTAGAATTTGATCACTCATGGTTAACGTACGAACCTTTCGTGCAGATTGCCTCGATATAGATTTTATGATACAATTCAATATAGAATAGAAGGAATGTGTTTAGCAGTGAGATGCATGACGCGCGTTCCATTCTAGTTAGAACTAGTCAGTTGGATGTCCTTGCATCCCAGAGTTGATTTTCAAACTTCAATTAAGAGTGTCAGTAACGGGATAATCCAAACCATTTGCACAAGTAAGTAGCTATCCGGGCTCAGTAGCTAAATGGACAGCATGATGGCGTTTGAAGCAACCGGTACTGGGTAATAACTTGTTTTTCCAAAGGTTGAACTTTAGCTACAAGACTTGAAGACCTTAGTTTGTGGATATAAGAAATTCCATACTAGACGGAAACAACTACCCGTTACCTCCCGATCTACAATAGTACACTGAATGACTTCAGTTCCCGACAAAAATCCACCCTTATACCAAACTTACTTTCACAAAAATGGTCAAGCAGATTAAATAAACTGAGGTTGTGAACCAATCAATATGAGACCACCATTACATACACGGATGCATTGGACTGCCGTTTTGCAATAATATGGAACTTCTCAGTAGTGCCCATTCATGGCCCTGCACCAAAGAGACTCAAATCCACCACCCCAAGTCTCGCCTGGAAACGCTTGACCTCTACACCACCGAACTATCGAGACCGTGGTTGGGCATCACTGACGAGTCCATATATTAAAACTAAACGACCGTTCAGCGCTTCCAGATTTTTAACAGTGGACTAACATTGATCGATTTATAATCTCAATTCAAACTCAACAACCTCCACAATCCCATTATTGAAGATTTGGTTAATGTTATATACTCATTTGGAAAATAGTATAGTCATCATTACCTTATTTAAAAGCTATCTAAACAAATACATTTAAATATAGATTCTATTTTTCACAAAGTCACATAGATCTCGTTCGCGCGATCGTGGATGAGCACTGCTGAGGAGACCCGCATTAGGACGAAACGTCCATCCAGTGTTTCCTTATTTTAAATGATGATCTAACATTGATCACTTCATGATCTTAATCAAAAACTTAATAATCTTTACAATCTCATACTGTTAATTCAAATCATTTACACTTTTTTTCTTTTATTTTCATTATTTTGAATTATTTCAATCTAGTCTATTTAAACAATACGATGATATTCAATGGTCAGTAGATGAAAAGGAAGAAATAAGTGAAACAAATGAAATAATAAACAATGGTAAGTTAAATGGTATACATAACTTTGAAAGCAAAGATGGATAGTGGCTAGTAGTGGAATCCAGGACGCGCGACACTTCGTCCTATTTAGGACTCATCAGCTGGATGTACCCGCATCCCGGAGTTGATGTTCACCCCGGGACTCGGACCAAGTACCGTTCGCTTCAAACACCATCGCATTATCCACTTAGCTACTAAGTACTGATAACCAATTAACAATTTTTAATAAACATCTAAAGAATATTTGTACTCTTCGATATAAATGACTGGTATACTAATGAAAGGAAATAGTAATAGTAAAGATAATAACTGTAAGATTCAATTCATTCATGGTTCCCCTTCATTTAGACACTTGTTACAATCAAGGGAATAGAGACAATGTACGGATGTCTTTTATCAACATTAAATGAGGTAGAAATTGTTTTAAATGATCTGTTTTATATCAATGACTTTGGTTCTTAGTATTCTCAATGATCATTTGAGATTTGAACTACTACCCCCCTTTACTGAACTATACTGGTTAGTTCATTTTCATAGTCAGAATTACTTAATCGGTATCATTAGTTCCCTACTTTGGAAACCTCTTTGATTCAATGTGATTATTTGTTTCCACATCTCTTTACATCTCTCTCCCCAGTGTATTCAATTGTTTATCTGGTGAATAATGAACCTTATGAATGACTAACCTATTTCAATCAGTACTTTATTATATAACCTTATGTGTAAGTTTCTTCTAGATATTGAGTAGTTGAAGGGAATCTAAAGAACAAATGAATTCATTTCTTTAAAACGGATAAAAACAAGAAGTAATCAGTAAGATTTGAACCGGAAAAACCTTTATATTTTGATATTAAGGAAAATAATGATTCGATTGATAGTAAATTTTAAAACCAAGCTAAATGTTTACTTCTGCCCCAAAATGTCTTGGTACAGCCGAGGGTGGGAAGAGTCAGCTCTCCTTCCGCAAATACCTTCACATGGCCACATGTATATAACCATTGACATGGAAGTCCTACTCACTGCCTTCTAGCGGAACTACTGTTTTTTTTTCCGAAATTGAGAGGACTAAAACCGAATGTCTGGAGCTTTAACTGGGTTATTTGACAGGGAGGATCCACCTAGGGGAGTCGGAAAACCCTGATTCCAATCTAATGGTGCACCTGTAATCCAATATCCTCAGAGAACAAATGACGTATGAACCAACTGTTTGTCACCGAATACCATGGGACTGCATCTCCTCACGTTGCTTCACTGTTTGTGGATCCGATCTTTAGGTCAAAGGCTCCGGGTGTGACCCCCTAAGAAAACCACCTTCTTTGGTCTAGGCATCCAGGTAGTATCATATATCACACACAAAATCAATTGATTAGTATGTTGTATATGTATTCAGTGCAATAAGTCCCATATAAAACGTTTGCATTTTGATGATGTAATCAATGAATAAATTTCCAAAATGGATTATTCAACTTACCTTTAATAAATCACTATATTTTCTATTTAAAAAAAACAAACAATATTATTCCAGATTTCCTATCTCAAACTGAAAACAATATACAACATGATGATTTGAATAAACCAAATGATTATATGAATGAAATATTCACAGATATACCGGATGATTTAGCTTGGCAATCCACTTCACCATGTTCATCTGAATCCATTGATTCATTTTCATGTAGTCGTAATGATTTAAGAAATGATGTAGAAGATCATTTATTATCAAATCAAAAATCATTCTCTTCAGATAAATCAATTGAATGTATGAATATAGATAAGAATATGTCAACAATGAATATTTTAAGTATATCAAATCATTTTGAAAATACATTAGATCCATCATTGTTTTATGCAATGGATTATACAATGACACATAATTATTGTTTAAATGAATATGATAATCATCATAGAAATGATGAAGAATTATTCAATAATATAAAGGAACAAACAAAAATCACTTCAAATGATCTTAATGAAGATGAGTCTCAATTGGAAAGTACAGATATAGCTTGGATGGATACATTAGATGTTTCTAGTAAGTGATTATTATTCATTATTAGAAGGAGGTTTTTGTGAATATTATAGTAATTTTTTAATAGTTGAGATCATGAGTTAATTTAATTTAGATTATCATGGAAAACCTAGAAGGATTGGATGGATGTTTCGTCCCAGTGTGGGACTCTTCAGCAGTGGGCATCCATGATCCCACCTTGTGAGATTCGAATACAGGACCTATTGGTGTTGAGCGCAAACGCTTAACCTCCAAACCATTGAATCGGTCGGCATCTAATGGTGTGAATGTCTAACTTCAATTAATCCACGAGATTGAGCGACACATCCATGATTGTCTTAAGTGAGTTACTATCTCTCAATAGGACGAAACGGCCGTCCAGGGCTTTCAGGTTTTTCATGGCGGTCTAGTTTTAATTAACTCATGATTATCATTAAATTGATTGGTTTTGTAGCAATTTAGTTATCATATGCAAATTCATACCTTTGGATTTGTTATGCATTATGATGTGATGTTTAATGATAGTATCAAGACTAAGCAATAATGGCATTCAAACGTCTAACAGTAATTAAAATTTGAATATTTCAGCTGTGAATGATAATGATCAGCCGAAAATCTACTGAACACCAGTGAGTACTAAAAAATATAATGTCAATATTTCAAGATATTGGTGGATGAGGTCGAAATTCCATGATTTCCTATTTGGGACTCGTCAGCTGGGTGTGCCTGAGTCTGAGTTGATGTTCACTCTGGGTTTCGAACTCACCACCGTTAGCTTCAAACACTACCGCAGTATCCACTTAGCTACTGAGTCCTGATGTATACAAATTTGTCAAATCCATTTATGAAATAACACATAGAGGTGGGATTTAAAAACGAAACTGAATGTATGATTATGAATCCTATCAAGTGGATATGATAAAAGAGTCAGTATTTTACACCAAAGTATGAATAATCTTATTCGATAATGCATCATTACCTTGTTGAATTAATCTAGTGGCCCAGAATCTGACTCCAGTTAGATTGAATGAATGATCATTATCGAATGATTGTTATTGAAATATACATGTCGTCAATCGTCGTATATCATTGTCGACTTAATTCGCGTTAGTAAACAAAAAACGGAATTGAATAAGTCAAATACGAGAATGAAGTTTGAATGGGTATATTTCATATAGTCGTTGATCTGAGAAACGAAGCTAAGAAAGCGAAACAAAATGATATGCAATGGAGAAGGCAATTGAGCCAAATTCATTTAACCAAGCGTGAATCGGTATTTATAGCCTGACAAAAAGAAGTTACAGACATGTGATGGGTAAGATAAGAAATATATACAACTTGAGCTTACATAAAAACAGTCAGGACTAATAAGTGAATAAATGAAAGGGTAAAAGTATGTCATGAGTAGAGTAAATAGATTGATCTATTCACAGGTTAGAATAACCCATGTGAGCTTGATATAGTACCAGACTCTATATCAACCATTCACAGTGTTATGATCTGATTGCATTTAATAATGTAGAAATACGAACCGAATTAGTGAATACAAACCTAACATAATGAGATTAACACAAATACTCATGAACTGAACTTTCACCATACTCCCAATAACTTAACATCTAGTTTTCAGTTACTGAGAAGATAAAAGGTAAAAGACAATTTATTCCTTGCTTCAGCTAATAATGCTAAATGACAAAATACTTAGCTATTTATAAATGTTTAGGGTATGTATGCAAATCAGCTAGTCAGTATGTAAGTTTTATGGTGTACGGGTTTAAACTGATTTTGGTCAGAATCATTATATGAGTGAAACTGTGAATTAAGAGTTTCATTCATACATTCATGGATCTTCTAAGGTTATTATAGTTTAATAAGGTCTAAGATAAGAAAAAGAATAAGATGAGACTATAATTTATGGATGACCTTTGAGCGACGTTGAACTGATCTTGAGAATGTTTACCTAATAACCAGGACTAAATGAAAGTTATAAATCAGTATAAGGAATTAGAACTATGATTTGAGATTGATGATTAATGTTAAGAATTAGATTTGGGGGTTTTCATCACGAACTGACATCATCTATAATGCCAAAATTCTATTTAGCCAAATGAATGAATGAATTTCGCGCCAAAATCTGAGATCTGTTATCTTATACTTGATTGGTTTGTTCATAAATGATAGTCTCGCCGAAATAATTGATTATTGAGAATATACTTTAGTGTAATTCACTGTATATTATGGTGTTGTAGTGAATAAGAACACAATTGAGGTCAATTGAATATTTACTCGAACACACAATTACAGAATCACTTAGTAAAATCTGAGAATCATACAGTAAATACTTGACTTGCAAAATGTCAATCAATCGTATCAGACATGATCGCTCCTTCGTTTCCACATCAATCATTCATTGTTCTCGTTCTCTTTTCTTTGATCTTCTGCTTCCAGGAATTTTACTTTCTATTGAAGATACATACTACTCTTATCTGTCGATATCAGTAGCTCATACCACAATGTTAGTACATTCATTTTCAGAAGGGGTTTGTGGAGATTTTAAAAAATTCACAGATTGAAATCATGAGTCAATTGAAGGCAGACCGCCATGGAAAACCTGGAAGCACTGGACGGTCGTTTCGTCCTAGTATGGGACTCCTCAGCAGTGCACATCCACGATCCCGCGAGATTAGAACCCAGGACCTGTCAGTCTCGCATCAAGCGCTTAACCAACTAGACCACTGAGCCGGCATGGTGGTCTAGCTTCAACTGACTCATGACTTCAATCTGTAAAATTTCTAAAAATCTCCACAAACCCCTTCTGATAATAATCATCTGCTCACTAGTGACGGACTTCAAGAGTCATTTCCCGTAGTTCTAGTGAGAAGCCGTTACCAGTGGAGTTCAGCTAGGTCTGTTGTGAGATATCAGCTCACTGAAGACAATGGTATACGGTGGCGCAACTTCGTGGATTGGTTGAAGTTAGACATTAACACCGTCGAATGGCGGCTCGGTGGTCTAGTTGGTTAAGCGCCTAGCGCGAGACTGGTAGGTCCTGGGTTCGAATCCCGCGGGGGCGGGGTCGTGGGCGCGCACTGCTGAGGAGTCCCATACTGGAACGAAGTGGTCGTTTAGTGCCTCCAGATTTTCCATGATGGTCTAGCTTCAATTGACTCATAATGTCAATTTGTGAACATTCATTTTCATTAGCTTTCACATCTTATTAATAGAATCTTCAAACATAAACCAAAATGTATTGTTTATTAATTTTAAAAGAACATAGCTTAGCTGTAGATCATTAGAATTGTATGTTTCAAGGGACAGACTACTGAAAACATGTTTAATCATGTTCAAAGATTTATATACTTCCAAAAACAATATCTTATTATGTAAATTACAAAATATGGACGTATTCATTTGTTTGAAACCTTTGTTACTTATCAAGATGATGAAACCTTATATATTTAAGAGATGAAAGCAATTCAGTTTATTCGAAGCTTTGATTATTAAGGTTGCTATGTCCTAAGCTTATAAGATTCTCGCGAAATACGATTACCAATTTAGATAGGTTGACTTGAACGACCAACCAATGATGCATACATCAGTATGAACAACCCAGAATACCGACTGGTCCCTTTCTCGTCTAGCTCTGCATGTTAAGTTCACAACATCAATCTCAACATCCGTCATACGAATTATATATTTCAAACATACTGAGTTTAAATACAAACAAATCAGACTACATCATATCATCAAATAGAAAATAACAATTGTATAAGATCAAGCCAAAAGTGGCTGTAATTGTAAGAGACTCTAACTGATAGATTGGAAATAACTTAAGAACAATAAATCCTATAGTAGTAATCAATAGGTTAAATGGAAGCTTATAATGATAGGAATATGAATATACACATAATATAATTACTTAATAGTTAAATAATGGGTATATACGTATAATATTAGTCCATAAGTAATTCCTAACAGTTATCACTCATTCAATCTCGTCCGGAGATAAACAAAAGTAATCAAATCAATGAGATATTCTGCTAAAGAAGTACACAGGAATGACACGCTACAGCTCTTACGGATTAGTTTCGAATTGCTTTATATCATTTGAAGTAGGCATTTATAATGTTAAGATAATTCAGCCCATTTGATGTAGGATCATCCAAGACAACCACTAGAACTATGAATCGTTTCGATCTTGTCAACAGAAGCTTTACATTATGTCTGGTTTCTTCATTATAATGCACGTATATTATAAATACTTACTTGTTAGATAAGTTAGTGAAAGAAGATATTTTGCATACGAATGATTTCATGTTAGAATAGAATTTTTTACATAAATGCCCTGGTAGGGCAGACAGTGGGAAGAGTCCTCTCTCCCTCTCCAAATGCTCTCACATGGTCGCGCGTATATAGCCTCTGTCAGAGAAGTCCTTCTCATTACCTTCTCACACCAGGGGTGTTGTTTACGAAATTCAGAGAACAAAAAGCGAATGTCCGGTGTTTTAACCAGGTTGGTGGACATGGAGAGTCCACCTACGGGAGTTTGAAAACCTTGATTCCATGTCAATGGTGCACATAGGCTATAGGATCGTTGGGGAAAAAATGGCGTATGAACCAATCGTTGGTCACCGGCTACCGTGGCATTGCATCTCCTCATCTTGCTCCACTGCCTTGTGGATCAGACCTTCAGATCTGGGTGTGGCCCCTTCAGAAAACCACTTGCTTTGGTTTGGGCACCTGGGTAGTATCACAGCCCTCACACATATCAAATGAGATTTGTGTGGCGCATATGTATCTGGTGCCTACCTGTACCAATATCTATGTGTTAAAATAAAAAAATAATAAAAACATAAATTACTAGTTGTTCTAACTGTGGAAGTATTACTTTTTATGGACTATAGACATGGATTTTTCTATCTTCTATCGTACTGGCACTTGATATGTTATGATATGTTTTCTCTCTACTAGTTAATAAGGATCAATTTGTTACCCTAAACCTCATGTTCAGACTATATTTACATTTTGGTCACTTATTCGTACTGACAATCCAATTAAGTAGTATACTAAACATCTTGTTATTGAACAGGAATATATATATATATAACTGTCAATAGTGATGGTCTTCCCTTTCAATTACAGTATTAAACACCAATCGAAATATTTGGACAACCAATAAAAATACATTTAAATCCACTCTATTGCATTTACCAATGTCCATCTGTGCTCATAACTAAGTGGATATCACTGTGGCTTTCGAAAAGGATGGTACTGAGTCCTCGGATGAACATCAACTCGGGTACAAATGCATCCAACTGACAAATCCCGAATGAGATGAAACGCGCCTCCTGAATTCCAATGCTAGCCACAGTCTAACTAAGTTTATAATATTCAAAACTTAGCGGTATTATTAAGACGATCCGCATATACCAAAAGAGACTGATCAATTAAAGTCCTAAACACTAATGGGAAGATTTAAACAATCAATACATATGGATAAAATAGAGTGCTAGTAATTGAAACGATGAAAACATTTCTGACTAGAACTTTTTAGAAGGATCTAATCTTTCACTTCCCGAAATTCATCACTCTTCTCGTATTTATCGAATTAACTTGTCCACAATTTATCAAATGCCTTGATTTATTTAATCTGAAGATTCCATACATGAAAGATAAATACCCTCAAGATGAATAATTACTAGTTATATAGAAAATAGTATAATTATTGTTAACTAGACTCATGTTCCTATGTGAGATTAAAACCAGCATATTTCAATCTTGTGTGGTATGAAATACCATTGATTCAATGAGTTGATATTTAACAAATCTACATTTTCAACTTCACTTAAACTATGATGTAGTATGATACTTATTATTGTAGAATAAGTCAACGCCATACTTCACGATTTCATAATGAAACTGTGGAATAATAATATCGACGCTAGTTATCAAAAATCATATGACTTCTTGTTAATTCAATTTACAATCGATTGAACACTAGGTGGTGATCATTGTCATGTATGTCAGGTCCTTCTTAGTACAGATCGAATCCTATCGACTAGGTTGTAATGTGCACACCGGTCTAGGTGACTCGACATTATGTGTAGTATATTGAGATAAGATGGTGATTGGAGTTAGTCAACAAAAAGCCCTACACCTACGTTATGTGCTACTTATCACTTGTCAGAAAGGTGTACCTGTAATCTTAAGGGAACTGATGCTCATTAACGGATTCAATCCCGTATCACCCAGCTAATTAGGTGTTTTGTGTAGATGTTGATAATATGATGCTTGATTTTGTCACAAACTAACACTAATTGAATATTACGTCTTTCCAGTACATTATAAAATAAAACTCATTTTTGATCTTTATTCACTCTTGAAAAACAATTAGAATAATATTGAAGACATTTCCAATTAAATCTTGTTCCATTTCACTAGATCTGCTTAGTGTTGAATAAGATTTCTCACTCTTTCACTTCACTACATGCACAAAAATGTTAGTTTTAGATACTACTATCACCAAACACTTCAGTTTGATGATATCATTAACAAAACTGACAATTTTTATATGATTTTGTCAGTAATTATATGCATTCGTAATCCCGATGACTCCAATGGAAAAGATTCTATGTGAATTCCATGAAATTTATAGAAAACATTTCAGTTACTTGTAAAAACATTAAGTAGGATATAACATTTTCACAAAATTTCTGAACGATGTGTACACAACTCGGTATAGTTTGTTTAAATCTTCCCATTGATGTTTAGGACTGCGATTGGTCAGTCTCTTATCGGTATATGTGCATACTGTGCGTATTGCCTGGATATAATCTTAAGACTCAAGCACTATATACAAAGATGTATAATGGCTAGTAGTGGAATTCAGGACGTGGGTTTCGTTCTATTTGGGACTCGTCAGATAGATGTGTCTGAGTCTGAGTTGATGTTCACTCTGGGTTTCCAACTCACTAACGTTAGCTTCAAACGCCACCGCGTTATCCACTTAGCTACCGAGTCCTGATGTATACGAATTTGTCAAATCCATTTATGAAATATCACACAGAGGTGGGATTTAAAAACGAAACCGAATGTATGCTTATGAATCTTATCAAGTGGATATGATAAAAGAGTTAGTATTTTACACCAAAGTCATCGAATAAAGAGTTCAGGACGGATGATTAAGAGTTCATATGTCAATATATATGATATACAAGATCGATAGAAGTTAGACAACAACATTGTTTGATGCCGATTCAGCAGTCTAAAGGTTAAGCATTCACTCGTGAGACCGAATGTATTGAGTTTGAGCCCCTTTGGTGAAGAATCATGTATGCGCACTGCCGAGGAGTCTCATACTAGGATGAAATGGTCGTTCTGGTCTTCCAGATTTTCAACAGTAATCTAACTTATATTGAATCGTGAATTTAATTGTTAAAATATAAGAAAGAATCGATTGTACAATTCTGTCTAAATTTCAGTAATAATCCTATTTGATATAATCTTTTCCGATGGTACAATATCATAATAGAATCCATTTAAATGGATAATATCATACATTAAAAAGGCAGAATATAAATTAGTAAAATCTCAGCGAATGAATTTGAAGTAAATTCAATGTTTTCGCCTGACAATCTGGTCCAAGCTTTTTCAAGGAAAATATAATCCAACAACAAAACTATCGAATATAAATAGGTACATAGTTCTCTGGTTTACTGTATACTGAATACGTTATCCAATCAACGTGAACAATGTTTAAAGTAGGTATTTGCATTAGTGTATAACAGACTTGTGGTATGAAATGAAAAATGTGTATACATAAGTAGTATGAGAAGAGATTTCATTCATTCACATATTGTCCTTTGGTCGGTGAATATTCAGAACAACATGTAATATAGAGGAAGAATGTATTTGTCACTGAAAGTTTGTGTTACTTTTATTGTTCCAATTAATTGTTTAACATATTCAGATAAAACAGCTGATTAGAACCGTTGAATGTGATTGCTGTTATTCAAAAATAATAAACGATTGATGAGAAGGAATGAGTTTAGGTTTACTTATTAATTATTAGTTGTCATGAGACACCTGATTGTATTCCATCTCTCCTATTAATACTGTTTGGATTTACCTATATATATATATAGGACTTCAGCTGTTAGTCATTCTTTGTAAGAATGAAAACCTTTTTGAAGGATTCTTATGCTATTGAAATCAATCCTATGACCTGATTCTATGGAGTGTAATGATATAGCTGATTTGTTTTCGAGTTTCTTTACATCAACTGAAGATTTAGAAATGTACTTTAAGCATAATTTGTATTCCTTCAGCGTCACATTCAGTTGCCTTGATGTTTCACCTACATACATTGTATCACGGTCATTATATTTGATTTCATAAACACAATTCTATTTTTCATCCTTGTGTATTGGAATCTTTGATCATAGAGTATTGTTTGTTTAAAAGAATACTCTTATATTTTGAAGAGAATATCATATTTGACAAAGATTCTTTACTCGAAAAAAGTTTTTCTTCTATGAAATTTATTCAGATTTACGTATGGATGATGTTGTACAAATTTTTTCAACAGTTAATTCATTAAAATCTACATCAGAAGAAATCAATAAATTTGATTATTCAATATCATCACCATCATCATCTCCATCCTCAACACCATCATCGTCGTCATCATCATCACCATCATCATCCTCAACACCATCATCGTCATCATCACCATCATTATCCTCAACACCATTATCGTCATCATCACCATCATCATCCTCAACACCATCATCATCATTATTTCAACATAATTATGATCGGAATAATAAACGTTTACAATTGAATCAGAATTCAATATTCAATGATAATGAATTCATTTCTAATGAAAAAGAACACTTTGAACATAAACTCCCATATAATAATGAAAAGAATAATGATGAATATAATTCAGATAGTACATTAACATGTTCCGAAGCTGAATATTATAATAATTTAATACGTCAAAAACGTTTAAGAAAATACCGAACGAATAAACGAAAATTTAAGCATAGATCTTTAATTTCAAATGATCAAGATGGATCATATTCACCATCATCATCATCATCTTCTTCTTCTAATGATGATGATGATGATGAGGAGGAGGAGGAGGACGAGAAAGAAGAGAAGAAAAAGGAGAAAGAATATGAAAAGATAATAAATAATCAATGTAAAAAGTTTACTTATCATTCAATTACTACTAAATTACATCATCGAAAAAAATCTCCTTCATCAGAGCATTATATACAATTATCAAATGAAATAAATGAATATAAATCATGGTGGCCTAATCCTATTACACGACGTATGCATAAAGATTTCCGTTCAACACTTTGGTTATCTAATGAATTATTAGATTCCAATGATAAAGAGATACAACAACAATTTACCACTTCAATGAATAAAATCAAATCAAGAAAACATCGTAAATTTACCCATTCCCATTCACATAATAATCATGATCGATATAAAAATAAACAAATGGAATTATGGCAATTTATATTATACAGTTTAGAGATTAGTAAAGATAGTGCATTTCAATGGGTTAATAAATCAACTGGATTATTTCGTATTGTAAATACACAATTAGCAGCAAAAGAATGGGGTTATTATCGTAATAATAAATTAATGGATTATGAAAAAATGGCAAGAGCTATAAGGTAAATGAAGATTATAATTTATAATTATAATAAATTTATTTATACTCGAAGTATTGGATGACTGTTTCATCCTATTGTGGGACTCCTCCTTATCAGTGTGCATTCATGATCCCGACTTGGCAGATTCGAGCCCAGGACTAGAACGGTTAACCTCTAGACCACTGAGCCGACCGGCATTCAACGATTTTAATGTCTAACTTCAACTAATCCATGAAATTGAACAACATATCCGCCATTGTCTTCAGTGAGTTACTATCTCACAATGAGACGAAATGGCCGTTCAGTGCGTTCAGGTTTTCAATGATGGTCTAACATCAATCGGTTCAAGATCTCAATCAATAATTTAATAATCTCCACAATCCTATACTCTTTAATTGTATTCATTTATACTCAACTTACTGTTTGTTCTAATGGTTTGTTGATTATAATCCGACTAAGTCATCAATTGGAACACTGATTTATTTGACCTTGGTACTGTGCCAAACCACGACTCGAGCACAACCCACCGCAGCATCTCAATCAAGTCATCTAGACCGGACTAGGCTGTGGCCGGACTATTAGGACGGAGCCTTTGACCAGCAACCCGCGTTGATATGCGGGTATACACGCCGGCAGGCACTCGCCCAATCCACGACTCAATGTGCGCCGTGATAGATGAAACCACCAAACCACCTGCTTCGGTTTGGGCACCCGGGCAGTATCCCAGCCCTCACACAAGTCGAATGATTTGTGTGGCGCATATCTACTTGGTGCCTCCTTGTACTAATGTTTATATGTTTAAATAAATAAATAAATAAATAAAATACTGTGCCAAACCAATGATACGTTAACCAGTACGAACAGCCTAGAGTTACTGGTTCTTTTCACCTAATCCAGCCGGTTCAGTCCAGAATGCCAATGTCAGCTTCCACTGTATGAATCATGTATTTCAGACATATACAGTTTATATACAAACAAACGAGACCGTATCATACTATAAAATAGAAAATAACAATTACATAAGAAGGGGTTTTGTGGATATTATAGTAATATCAATAATTGAATTTATGAGTCGACCCAAGCTAGATCACCATAGAAAATATGAAAGCAATGGACGTTCGTTTCGTCCTAGTGTGGGACTCCTCAGCAGTTCGCATCTACGATCCCGGATGCCGGACTCGAACCAGGCCAATGGAGTCATCCATGTCTATTGTAGAGACAGTTACTCATTGAAAACAATGGTAAATGGTTGAGCAATACCATGGATTGGTTGAAGTTAGACACTAACACCGTTAGATACCGGCCGGCTTAGTGGTCTAGAGGTTAAGCGTTCGCGCTCGAGACTAACAGGTCTTGAGTTCGAGGTGGGATCGTGGATGTGAAATAATGAGAAGTTTCACGACAGGACAAAATCGCCATAAAGTGCTTCCAGGTTTCGAATGATGGCCTAGTTTAAGTCGATTCATGAATTCAACTATTGAAATTACTACGATCTCCACAAACACTCATTTCAGAAATACATTACCGCCGTTCTAGAAACTATGGTAGAACTTAAAAACATTCCATCAAATATAAAGCAAGTTAAACTGATTGAAAATTAACTAACGGTTAGAGAGAAAAAACGGCGGGAAACGATCATTTTTGAATAAAGAACAAAATATTTTATGACTTAAAATGGTCTCTTCAATTCAGAAACAAAACTTAATGCTGGCAAGACTATAATTAATGAACTAACCAATCAGATTTAAGATAGCAGGTCTTGAATTTTGGCTTGAAATTCATTCACCCATTTGTCTAAATAGCATGTTCGTATTTTAGCTGATATCAGTTTATGACGAAAACATTAAATCTAATTCCTAATCCTGACGTCCAACTGTAAATCCTAATCCTAATTCCTCGTACTAATCTATAATCTTCATTTGACCCTATTAAGTAGGTGAACATTCTCAAGGTCACTTTAGCGTCACTCAAAGGTCATCCATAAATTACAGTCTCATCGATTAAAATCTATCTCAAGAAGAATGAATAAATTAGTCTGTATGGAAGATACAATAATCCATGTAGGCTTCACATGGATACTTGACACTACAATAATAATGTAAGTCTAATGGTTGAAATCATGAGTCAATTGAAGCTAGACCACCATAGAAAGCCTTGAAACACTAGACGGCCGTTTCATTCTATTGTAGGACTCCTCAACATCGCGCATCCACAAACCCGCCCCCCTCGTGAGATTCGAACCCTCAGTGGTCTAATGGTTAAGCGCTCGCGCGCGCAAGACTGATAGGTCCTGGGTTCGGATCCCATAAGGCGAGGTCGTAGATGCACACTGCTGGGGAGTCCCACAATTAACTCATGATCTCAACTATTAAAATTACTATAATATCCACAAAACCCCTACTGATAATAATGTAACTCATTTGATTTCTATTCATTCATATAGTCATTAAACATTAAATTATATTTTACCATCTATTTACTTCTCTAATCACTTTGATTTGTATTTTCTTTTTCTTTATTTCTTCAACATAATGAATAGATTTTATTATAAAGATTCAATATTACGTAAATCACGTCAACAATTACATTTTCAATTTGCTATGCCTTATGTAAAATGGGCTGAAAAATTTTATGAAAATAAAAAAACATTTTTTTAAAAATTCCACTTCATTTTGAAAACAAAACAACGACAACAACAACAACAAAAAAAACACCACAGCAACAAAAACAACAACTGTACATTTTCATTGTATTCCTTATTGTTTCATTCAATTGTTTATATTATCCATTACAGTTTATTTAATTCTTGTGAATATTATTGATTGATGTTATCCAATAAAAAAAGATATTATATATTAATAAGAAACTAGTGACTGGCTTCAAGATATATATCCTGTAGTTCTAGTGAGAAGCAGTGATCAGTGGAGTTCAACCGGATCAGTTGTGAGATAGTAACTCACTGATGATAGTAGTGGATGTGTCGCTCAATTTTGTGGATTAGTTGAAGTTATACATTAACAACGTTGGATGTCAGCCCAGTGGCCTAGTTAGTTAAGCGCTTAGCGCGAGACTGATAGGTCCTGGGTTCGAATCCCGTGGGGCGGGGTCGTGGATGCGCACTGCTGAGGAGAAAATCTATATCTTAGTGAAGTGGGTTTGTGGTTATAGCAATTGAATATAGAACGAGTATCTTATCTAATTTAGGATTGATCAGTGGAATTGATCAATGTCTCAGTATCTCTAGTCCGAGTGATGTTGAAGTCCACGTAATTATCATAACTAATGATTGGAGACTGAGTGATATGGCATAGAATCGATCACAATGACGTTAATGTATACAGTCTCTGTCTCCCCTTAAACTGTAAGACTAACATTACTTTATATCTTACATTCTACGAATTAAGTATTTCTTCCTATACTATATCCTTATATGCAATCTTTCTTTTGATATATTACCACCATTGAAGAAACTACTGTGGTGTGAGCTACTTATATCCACACATGTAGTATAAAACGATAGTCAGAAATAGAATGTATTTCAGTAGAAGATAAAGAAGGAAAGAACGGAAACGCTAAGCAATTGCTATGGAAATGCAGGAACAATGAAATCTGAGACGATGGACTGATATTTGCAAAAGGAACAATCAAGTTTGAGACGATTGGTATTTTAACAATTAACTATTTACTGTATGGTTCTCAGATTTTAGTGAGATGTTCTGTAACTGCGGGTTCCAAATACATTCGATCGTACCCACTCATGTTCTTGTTCACTACACTATTTCTATGAATTCGGCGTTCATCTTGTTGTGGTAATTATTTATGGCAACTTGGACCGATGCATGTATATGTCTGGTCCTACGTTGTAGCTGACTAACTTTTAATTTCGGATTTTAACAGCCAATGCCTTATACGACAACGTTCAGATTACTACTTACTTATTGAATAGATAGGAACACAATAGTAAGGGATTGTGTTTTCGCATCATCGATATTAAGGAATTTGATTATTAAATGCCTATCGATTTACGATACATTAGTCTGACAGAGACAGGTCAGTTTCAATCCTTAATGTCAATAACAGGCAAATGCAAAGTTTTACAAATGAATTTGTCACAAATTAATATGTTATGAAGAATCATAGAAGACTTAGAATAGTTCAAATATACATTCGTGACGATATATGATGATAATAAGAAAAGAGAATTATTCCTAACAATTATAAACGTTCCAAACGCTATACATAAATATACTTCTCCGATTGAAATCCTGAGTCATTTGAAGCTGGACCACTATGGAAAACCTGGAAGCGCTGGACGGTCGTTCCGTCCTACTAGGGGACCCCTTAGCAGTGCGCATCCATAACCCCACACCCCGCGAGATTTAAACCCAAGACCTGTCAGTCTCACTCCAGGCTCCCAACCAACTAGACCACCGAGCCGAAATCCAACGGTGTTAATGTCTAAATTCAACCAATCTGCCATGCTTTTTATGTAATGCACAATAAATTTGATTTATTTGTCAGTTCCACGAAAAAAGTTGAAAGTCATTTTCGTAACATAGATGGGTTAATCCACGTATTATGGCTACACACACTTTCTGTTTCAGTCAGTTTCCATTATTATAAGCAAAGATGGATAGTGGCTAGTAGTGGAATCCAAGACGCGCGTTTCGTCCTATCTGTAACTCGTCCGCCGGATATACCTGCATCTCAGAGTTGATGTTCACTCCAGGACTTGAACCCAGTACTTTATGCTTCAAACTCCATTGCGTTATTCACTTAGCTACTGAGTCTTGGTAGCCACTTGCTTGTGAAATAGGGTGGTTAATATTCATTTAGTATCGTTTGTTTGAATCTTCCCATTGACGTTTAAGATTGCATCATTATTTATATTATCGAATTTTATTTAAACTAATGAGCATGCGATTTTCAATTTTGTTACGTATATCAAACATCATTGAATATCGATGAATCAACAGTTGTACAAAACTCCAAGTCTCAGTGTTAAACTGAAACAGACTTAGGAGAGATCTAATAAATACCTAACGATAGTATTTAATTGAATGTCATCAAACATCGTATGAAGCTCATGAAATTTATCACCAATTTATAGAATGATTAAAGAACTCTTGTAGTGAACGAGAACACAAGTGGGAACAACCAAATGTATGTGAATACAAAATTACAGAACCTGTTAGTAAAATCTAAGAACCATACAGTAAATACTTCGTTTGCAAAATATTAATCAATTGTCTGAGACTTGACTGTTGCTTCTTTTTCACATCAATCATTCTCTGTTCTTGTTCTCTTTTCTTTGATCTTCTTAACCTTCTGCCTCCAGGCATTTCACTTTCAATTGATGATGCATACTACTTATATTTATTAACATCAGTAGTACACACCACAACATGACTTATAAATTAAGATACAATTCTCTAGATATATTATTGATTTGTGATTAAGAAAACTTGGTCACTTTAGCTATGATAATGCGATCTGTTTAAAGATTTAGGTCAACTAATTTCCAACTGAATAAATAGTGCAATTACCTTTTTCAGTTGTAAATTGATATGAAATGAATGATTATAAATGATAATTGTAGGTTTGGACGTGCTACTTATAAGATGTCAAATCGAAATACTCAAACTCTTGACATATTTTCTTGTTTGGCTATTATTTGATAAAACGATGAACGAATATATTGAAATTCATGCATCTTACATAGGATGGATGTAAAAAGGTATTTGCAACAGCTGTCTGATTAAAAATAACTATTCCATTGAAGATGTATGAGAGATACGGGCAACTAAGCTGGAGATCCCAAACATTTCTTGGAAAATGCCAAAAAAAGGATCTGAAAACGCTAAGAAACATCTTATTTAAACAGCATTTCATAGAAATTTTACCAGAAACATCCAGAAGGTGAAAAATCACATGTGGAGTTTCTGATTGGATAAGTACCTATACTTCTACTATGTTTAGAAGGGTTCCAGAAATTTCCAGAAGCTCAAGGCCATCTAAAATACGATAAATACCCTAGAATTCCTGTACATAAACAAACCTTTGGAGTAAAGCGTTTGTTCCATATTTCTCTCGTGTTCAAGTCATTGTGTAGATTTACCCTGGGGGGTTAATAGAGAGCTTACGAAACCGAATCTAGCATTTAATTAGAAAACTTATCAATATCTTCTCAAATGATTAAAAATTCAATGTATATTAAACCGAAATGTATTATAATATTGTAAAATTTGTGCTAAGAACTCTTTGATGCGAAAAGAATTCATAGTATCGAATGAATTTTCTATTATAAACGAAAATATACATTAGTTGATGTTGTTACATATGCATGATTGTTACATAGGTTAGATCATTGGAATATTGTGAAGTGTTCACTTATCAAGACAAGACTATAGTCTCGTACTACTCAAAGGATTGATTAGTAGTGTTATCAAAATGTCAAACTTCCCTATATGTTAAAACAGTCTCAATCAGTTAGTCAGTCATCAACAGTATGGAACCTGGCAAACATTGGTTATAGTTACCATACTATAACAGTATAATGTGATGGAATTATAATGATGAATATGAAAATAATAGAAAAATTAGTAGTATTATTATTAAGATTAGAGAACAACACTGGAGATAGAGATGATTCAAAAAGAAAAGTCAGTTTTTAGTGCACTACTGTGACCAACTCTCAGGCTTGCTGCTAACCATCTCCAACAATTAATTATGATAATTAAACCGACTATGATTAAATAACCTGAAACTACTAAGCTGACTCAAACCAATAATTATTGACTACATAAATCGAAACCACATTTTGGATTAACCACCACTAACTTCCTAAACCCTACTCTAAATTGTTGGAGAGACCCGAGAAATTCCTCGAAAAAATTCCCAAAGGGGCCCTAAAAAACTCTGAGAAACATGTTATTCAATCAGCATTCAATAGAAGTTCCTCAGAAACAACTAGAAAGTAAAGAGTCACATGTCACGTTTCTGACTGGAAGATTACCTACCCTGCTACTGTGTTTAGAAGGGTCCCAGAAATCTTCAGAAGCCCAAGGTAATCTGAAATGTTATAAATAAACTGTTTTCTCTCATTTCAAGTTCAGTTCACCCGAAAAAAAAACAGCAACCAGAAACACTATTGGAATTAACCAACTATAAATAGGATTAAGGCCTAATTTCGGTCATTGAATACAGACTTTACTAGTAGTAATCAAAGACCAGATGATCTAGGTTAATTTTGTAATTAGATACAATGGGTTTCGAACATACTACACAGTAAATAAAAGTCATATGCTTTAACCAATGAACTAATCCCTATATGGAAAACTACTAAGAAGCATTGAAAACGTATTTGCCTGAAAACGTCTTCATTACATAATTTATTTTGCGTTGTAACCTGATGAATTAAAACATTTTCGATTGATCCCACTAAAGCGATTGAATAATCCCTTTGAGGATATTATTCTGTTATTAAACTGAACTAACTCTCATCATACAACTATTTTTCTATGATCATTAAAGATTATTAACCAAGTGAAATCAAGAATTGTCTTTTTGATGAGAAGTGGTTGAAGGTACTCGACTGATAAGCTTGAACTTACGTTTCGTACGATTTGACACTCGTCATCATGAGTTAACTGAAGTTTTTAGAAAATAGATCATTCTTGTGAAATTCGAAAATGCATCTGGGTCTACAGTGTTGTTATAATTTTATCTTATTGACACTCAACTATTCCTATTGCTTAGTATTCTTGGACATCAATTCACCAGATTAGTCCCTGAATCAGAACACAGTTGAACAGGAACTAAATTATATTTCAAATAACAAGAGTAGATGTAAGTAAGAAGCA